GAATCCCACTATCTGCGCGCGGCCGCCAGAGTGAGACACTGGGACAGCCACTACCTCAGCGGACTGACCTTGACGCCGGATCAGTCAGTACATGGTCCCGGGTAGGACTGACTAGCACATGTTCACGTGTCCTGATGAGTGCAAATAAACGAGTCGCGGTGCCTAAATCAGCCTATGGAAGGTGCAATAAGTCGGTCAAAATAGGCGTCTTTTGTAGAAATTGTCAAACCGGCTTCCACGCGAAATGCGGGAAAATCACACCAAGCGAATGCAGACTAATCAGCAGCAGGCCTGACTCATTTTGGTTCTGTGCGAAGTGTAATATTGTCCAACTAGTTAAAATTGTAATCGCACTGTCCCAGAAGTACCAAAGGCTTAGAGACATAGTTGAGAAGATGCTGGGCACCAAAATAGCTTCGGTAGGACCAAGCATAGCAGAATGTGACATAGGCCCCTCCACCGAACTCCACTGCAAGCCAGCGCAACAACGCCGAATGCTACACTATTAGTTACTCCTGCAAACACTGTCATTAATCTAAATCGCCTAAGCGTTCCCGAATAATTTACTCCTAGCCTATTTACAGCAATTTCCCATAAAGCCACTTCCTCCCTCCAGACGTAGCCGAAACTCAGGTAACATGCAAATACCAGTAGCACCTTGGCCGTTGTTGCATCGAAATGTACTCCAAAAGCAGACACTGCTGTTTCTATTCCTACACCCATAGATAATGTGAAAGGCAACGCTACACAGCTGCACAGATAACCGTTGGGTCTCCTAACTACTGTCCATGCTCCCAAGAAAACACTCAGAAACAAGTGGATGCCCTGTCTAAATATGTGCCTTCGTTTTTAAGTCAACATCTTATGCTTTGAAGGAGAAACAGATGGATGAACTAAACCAATGAAACACTACAAGCAACGTCTTTGGTATTCGTACTAAACCCTCCAACTTGACGAGGATCCCCGGCAAATCAAATTCCAAACATTATGGCGAAGCCAAGTATTTTTGCGTTGCGCTAAACTCAGTCGATGAGGTGGAAGCAGCGTTGCTTCCGACTGCTGGTTTCCAGGACGAAATCAATCAGGTCCGCGTCTTTCCAGACGCTCCCTGGGGTGAGCGAGGCACAGCTTAGAAGAGTTCCGGCTAAACACCGGAGCCGGAACCGTTTCTGCCCACTGCGTCCTCCAGTCTCACGAGCACGATGAATGCGAAGCAAAGGCACACGACCAGGAGCAGTGGCGCTATGTTCGTGAGACCCTGCTCCTGAATGACATTGTTGCTACTTCTTTCTCGAAGCTGCCTAGATCAGAAAGCTACAATGAGTGTGACCCAAGGATAATTAAGATTGTGGTACAAACAAGGCAGATGGCAGCTAGGCTACTGGTACGCTGGTATTCACTTCGGAACAGACTGCCAACCGAGCTTCGGTTCAAAGCGGCGAGCGAAACGGAGTTAAATCAACTACACAACAGACAAACGAATTAGTGCTCATTTCCGAAATGCACACCGGAAGCAGGTCTGAAGGAAGTGAGGATCTTCCCACGCAATCGTGCAGTCACCCCCAAGCATTGCGAAATCTGAGTTGTCAGAGGGGCTAATCACGATGCCACTGAACCCAACTCCAAGCGACTCGCTGAGAATATCACAAAAAGTGGCTAGCGGCAGACCATACAACTGTCGGCGCAACCTCTTATTCTAGCCACAAGTGTCTCGGATCGTTGCTGAGAGCCGAAACACTTTCCTGTATGTAAAAGAACGCCCAAGGCATCCACGGTAAAATCGCCGAGCTTCGATTCCGCCAGGCAATAAACACTTGGGATCTCATCTCCATAACCAAAACTTGGTTGCACTCAGGGATTATGGATGCCGAGATCGCGATTCAGGGAATGTCCTTGTTCCCACACGATCTTTCTAGCAGGGGAGGTGGTGCTTTCCTGTACCATCGTAACGACTTACAATGCAAACCACTGGATGATCCGGAGCCGCGAGTCACCGATTCGCCATGGTGATGTTTGCGTCTCAGACACGAAGACAACTGCTTAGTGACAAACGTAGGTCGCTCTCCTTCGTCAACTCCGTAGATGGATTCCCACCTAATATCTTCAATGGCGAAATGCATACTCCCAGCTTACAGCCACCTTCTTATTACCGACGATTTCAACGTACAGGATTAGGAAAGCTCGGCATCTCTCGGCGAAAAATCCAAGGTTAAACTTCAAGAACTTATCGCAAGTATCCCGCTCTACAATCATATCATCTCACCTACCAAGTAAAGAGCTGACAACAAACCACAGGTACCTGACCTCGTGCTCACAAATGAGGAACTCATGATAGACAGGCCATTAATAAGTACTCTACTAGGGTTAAGTGATCATGTTACCATATTTATAATCATGTGTGTTATGCTGAATATCCTGAGGAACACATAGAACTAACAAGTACTATCACACATTACGACAGCTTGAACAACCTAGATGGGACGACCGATTGGGAATTCTCGAAAGGTGGCTTGTCTGACAGCGCGTGGATTCAGTTTGTCCGATGCTTCAGCAAGCTAATCGCAACTACTTCAGAAACGAACGGGCTTCGCTCCACAAATCCCTCGTCTTTCATCAGAAGTAGAACCCGCAATAGCATGTAAATAATGAATTTAGCTTGGGAAACTTACAGAGCTCGTACTAGTCCCGAAACCTGGAGCGATTACGTGACCGAGCGCAACCACTGCAATATGTTTCTCCGTAAGGACAAATTGACTCACCAATAACATTTGTCTTGTAAATTTGCCAACAACAAAAAGCTGCTATACAAGCCTGTTAACGTTATCCGGAAAGTGAAGCACGGTATCCCCTACTTAACACGCCAGTCGGATTGGCACAGAGTGCCGAAGAGGCAGCCAACACCCTAAGAATGCAGTATGCTCTAAATTTCCAAAGAGAGGTCCGCCAGTGTTACATACACACATCCCTAGCCCCACCTTCAACACTCCCAAAAATCGAGTTTAGTGCCACAGCTGTGTTGAAGAAACTGTTCTAACTACACATCCACAGTTCTCCCAAAATCGATTATATTCATCTAAGGGCGCTGAACGTAGCAGCAACAACCCTGGCTGGACCATTATCACATTTCTTTCAAACGTGAATGGATAAACAAATTTTGCTTATCATATGAAAACATGGTTTAGTCATTATAATTTTCAAAAGCGATAATCGCTCGGAACCCCGTCAACTGTCGCTCAGTGGTCCTTCTCCCTGTGCTCTCAACAGCGATGGAGGAAATCATCGCTGAGACATTAGTGGACCATCTAGAAGACCATAACATCAAATCACCCAAGCAACATGGTTTCCGCCAGCAGCGTTCAAGCACTCCTATCCTACTGGTTGCAAGCAGTAGTTGAAAGGAAACGGTTGATGAAGGCGGAGGGACACACGTCATTTACCTCGACTTCTCCAAAGCCCTCGATCAATTGGACCACCGCATTCTGCTTCACAGGCTGGAAGGATATGGAGTTAGAAATCCGGTCCTTGGGCGAACCAGGAATTTCCTGCAGGCTCGGACATTTCAGGTCAGAGTTCGAAGTGCGCTGTCCGATCCGATTCATGCCGAATGTGGAGTTCCACAAGGATCAGTTATGGGGCTGCGTCTGTTTCTCGTGTTCACTAACAAGTGGATGCGTTTGATTGCTTCAAGTTTCTTGCTGTTCGCTGACGATGTTAAAGTGTGGCGGACTATCGCCGGCCCAGCAGATCACGGTACACTTCGCCAAGCTCTGCACCGAGCGTATGGGTTATCACTCCACAATCTTTTCCAGTTCAATGCAAGAAATTTAAGGTGGTTCACATTCGCCACCAGCTGGACATCACATAAAGGCTTGGAGACCATGTCCTGCAAACAGTCACCCGGAAGCACGACTTTGGGGTACTAGTTCAGGCAGATCTGGCCGGCTCAGAAAAAACTGAGAAGGCATCAAAGACTGGGAACCAACAAGCTGACATGCTGCGAAGGGCAATTGGACGGTTTGGTCCTTCTGTCTGTTCGCAGTCGTTTAACACTTACGTGCGATCTCATGTGGAATACGCAATTCCGACGTGGCAGCCCTGGTACCAGCAAGATCTTGCAGCGCTAGCGACTCCACAGCAACGTGCCAGGAAGAATGCTAAAGGGTTGTTCAATCTTCCTTATCAAACTAGACTGAAGACCCTAAAACTATGCAGTGGCCGGTACCGGCGAGTAGTCGCGACCTTATTACAGCCTACCAGATACTAAGGAACCCCAACCATATCTTTCGCCACCTACTACAACTGAATCACAACATGAACTTGAGAGGTCACCAGTTCCATGTAGCCACGCAATACAGTCGGCTAGAATGTCGACGGAACTTTTACTCTCTTCGTGTATGTCAGCCATGGAACATCCTCACAAATTATGTTGTTTCTGCCCCCACTTTAACTGGGTTTACAAAACGCGTTGAATTTGCCCCAACCCACGTACACTATGAGATATAGTCTGTGTGTCTCGACAGACGAGATAATGAGACGAAAAATGTGCAACGAAAACTAACCTGCACAACTGTGCTTGGCTCTTTCTGCGTGTCTCTGCGTTAACACTGTGGTGAGTCCACCAAAACTATTTTCAATTTATCCACTTGTTTTCTATTCATCATATGGTGGTTGGCTTTTTGGCCATCCTACGGGACTGGCTAAGCATCCGCTTTTCTGCCCCGCAATATAACATTGTTCCATTGACTTAGTTCTCTTTCATCAGGCTGTTACACTTCTCAAAAGCCCAGCGCTTCTGCATCGCAAAGTCTCATGATAATAAGAGGATATTCTGTCTCAAGTATGAGATACTACAAGAAGGTATAGGAATAAGTTCATAACATTTGCACTGAAAAATTTTGCCGGACCACAACCGGCTATAATTTCCTGATAAACCCCAACATCGTAAGCCCAGCTACTGTAGAATCATAAGTAGTGTAATACATTTGGCTATCTTTCACCAGGTTCAACCCTTTCGATGGATGCGCAGTTCAAGTTGCAGTCAATCCTTTTGAACGACCGAAAGTGCAGCAGATTAAAGAATTGACCTCGGTACCCACAGCGCCAACTGGATTCAGACTAGCTTCCAAATACCAAGAGGAGTTTCAAAATTCTATGAACGCTGCTGTGGCACTGGCGGCTGCTTCCGTTCCGCAGGCAACGTCGACAAACACACAACATATTGTAGCTGCAAATGCACTTGGAACGAGGATACCCGGATTAGCAGGGTAGGTTGCCAGTTGTTAAAAATTGTATATTTGGAGCTAACATCAAGGAGTAAAATCAACCACCCTTAAAGTCGACGAATAGCTTAAACCAAATTCCTCCTGTGTAGCCAACTCTTCCGTCAGTATAATCAAAGAACTTTATGAGAAAAACAGAATTGCAATGATCCACAAACGGGTGGAACGACTACACAGTTATTTGCTCGCTGAGTGTTGCTTGCTTTGTCGATCCTTCTTGATATTCATTTAACCTGAGTCAACAAAGCCCTAGCACATATTTCTGTGGAAAACCCACATCCCTATTCAGAGTTATTAGATTTCTTTAAGACCTGCTGTAAGTTTATATTCATTATGTTATTATATAGTTAATGAAACAAGATAATGCAGTTCCGTGAGAAACAGTAAAAATCAGATCTTGAAATATTTGACTTAGAGAGGGAGCAGATGAACAACTGTGATGAGATTACATGAGATCACATCTTCCATCAGTTCACATGGCCTCTAATTGGACAGGACATCTAGACTTTAAATAATGTAGATCGCAAACATATAAATCTACCACATTACGTAATTGGTGAGCCTAGATAGATGAACAATTGACAAGGTTAACAATGTACAATTCAATAAGGATTAAAGGGATCACGATGCTATGAACGTTAACAGATACTATGCATTGGAAAAAGCACTTTCTGTGAAGGAGCGAAAAGATGTTTCATGGGTGAAGTCCCTTACTTCTAGCACCTTTCGCATTTGGGCACTCTAAATACCGAAGCTTACCAACTAGACAAATCATGAAACACAGTTCAAATGAAACGCTAAACGATATCAAGGTTGCATTCACCAGCTCCAAGACTTGTATAGTCACCGCAAGTATTAACATTCAGCACGGTCACATTTACACAGTGCATCCCAAATCGCCTGGATGTATGACGTTGTAGTTCTAAGCACACAGAGAACAGCAAAGAGCATGGTATTTCAATCGCTATCAATGCCTGTAAAACAAACAATCTGAGCAATCCGATATGAAGAACAGAGAACACACCCGCTCAAGAATTCAGGAAAGCCTAGTATACTTCATGTGTCTGCTTACCTGTTACAGAAACAATCATGTATCGTATACCGGGTACAGTGCTTGATCTGTTGACGCTATCTTGGTGCTTTTAACTTGACTCAGATTCCTTCTGGAGTTATACGTGACCAGCATCATAGTTCATTTCAGTGATGTTACATAACACTTCATGTTTACCGTCACCTCGTCAAGCTGCCTAGTTACGTCCTTGTGAGGCTGTTCCCCCACGTAGGGGATGACGATGATGAAGAAGGGTTAGAAAAATCACAACGAGGTCATGTTATCAACGTCGCCTTATCGTTATTGATTGATCAGATTATATGATCCTAGGCTACTGGCATAACTTGACTGCCTTTGGACTATGTTTACTTTGAAATATGTGTCCTACATTTAACCCTTACACGTCCCCTTCGCAGCGTTTATTAGCAGTACTATCCCGCAATGAAAACTGGCTTGGTAGTAAGGCAGTATTGCAAAGTACTGATGTGGTGTATTTGATGAAACTGATGATCCCATGTGTGATTCAATTGGCATGGCAACTATCTCTAGAATGGAAGAATGCTTTCAAAACTGCTGCAGATAAATTAGCGAGACATAGAGCCATTTATGATAACGCAATAAAAGAGCCATTTTTCACCAATTACTCTCCAATGAACGGAAGTCCTGAAAAAAGTTGTGCTGTTCGATAATAAATGTGCGCGCACGCAAAATGTAAATCTAGTGAACCTTCAGCAATACAAATACGGATACGGCAAACTCGTGAACAATCTGCCTGAAAACAAAAGCTCGAATGTCGAAAATGTATGGACTCCAATAATGCAGAGTTACAAGTGTTCGAATAGTCGGAAGAAAATCTGGGACAATCAGAACCCATCATACGGGTTGATGCGGCCCCTGGCCACCTATCACTTGATAGCTAACCTATGGTAGGAATACGTTGTTTTCACCCAGAAGGCAGGAGCAGGACACTTGAACCATAGTGGATATGATCAAATGATCAAAACCAACCTCAGTACTAAAATATTGAAAATAATTAGGCTACGGAGCCAGAATATCAACTGAGGAACTAGAATGTTTCGCAGCTAGCATCCAGATGCAAGTAGCATTGATCCGGTCCTCACCTAGCTAAACATATCTAGAACTTAGAATGCTGCGATGACTCGCGTAACCCTTTAACCCATTGGGCCATATTGTTTGGCGTTTCCGGAACACTGAAGAGTTACTCCAATCAGATTATTCAAAGGTTAGGGAACGGAAGAACTTACTCTCCTGGTAAAACAAGTTAGGGGCTGGAAGTGGAATGACGCCTATATCTGTAAACCCGAATCGTTACCACATCCACTGTCTTGCGAACAGGCTTCAGATTCAAAAGTTTTACTTGAGGACTCCAGTGGTTCTCCCATTTAAGTTTTGGTGTTAGGACATCATCTCAGCCCATACATAACCATGACTAGTTCATCAAACTCTAAATATATCCTATATCGGTTGTCGCATAGCATTATATGGGCGACGTTACTGCTGCACGAAGCAAGGCGGTTAAGCGAAAGCATGCTACTGCCGATGCGCCTCATTTTCCACCTGTTTCTCTTGTACCATCGATCCTCCTTACTAACCTCACTTCAATCATTCCAGATATAGTTGACTGAAGTCCCGAGCCCATCGGTGTTCTGCCATTTACAGCTATTACCCGGATCATACAGTGGTCTTCTACTGACAACACCACTTCATCAGCCTATGCTGCTAAGTTACCCTAGTGCTGGTCAACATTTTTAATCTCTAGGAGAAATAGGTGAACAGTTAGCGCCTGTACTCACGTTGGACACCCTGGATGTTGAGGTGTGTTGCGTGCCCGCTAAACAAGATTAGTGGCCCTCATGAAGTTGTTGAACTATTACGGTTCGTGATAGAAAGACCAAGGTTCACTTCAATTGGAATCGCGGTCAACATTGAGACTGCGTGTCGCAATCCATCCACACAACTTGTACTTCAAAATGACCCTCAACACTTACACATGTCTTATGATCACGTTATTGGTTATGCGAATCTGGAGACGCTGATGCGGCAACCATTGATCCAGCTAGAGTGGGCACCATTCTGGGCTTCAGTTATACCATCGCTAGTTGATTAGATTCGTGTGAACAACCGTATGTGGCCTATGCTGATGACGTAATCATCTTTGCCAGGTACTGAGGGCTGTGTAGGATTTTCGCAGAATGCAGCAAAACTTTTCTCCTGGCCCTACGAGTGGCCAGCCGAATACAATCGTTCCCAGTATCGTCGTACTATTCTCTCGTACACATCTTATTCCGCGTTCACCACAGTATCGTTTCAGACGCACGTATCGCTCAGCAATCTTAGCCTTCCGTTCTAGTGAGAAGCCAAATTGCCACTTTTTCCCTAGAACAAAATAACCTGATGTGTAATCAACTTACCCATTCGAACACTCCATGCTAAGTAAATGCATCACATACACACACATACACGCCATTTAGTTTCTCTTCGTTCCATTCCGAACTGTGTTAGCGTTAGGTGATTTAACTAAAGTACATCGTGTCACGTAGCACACGGTTGTTGTTTACTTACGCGTATGAAAACGTCCTCATCGATAAAAAAACCATCGAAGCTCCAGTGAAGGCATTTACAGGTTTTTGCTACTTCGTCGTATTCCTACTGTTGGTGGCGACAGTATAACACTTTACCTTAAAGAATATAGTCAACTTAGTTCGCTCCTATGCAGGCCAATGTGGCTTCTATTCACTAATATCAGACATTCTAGCCTCAGTATACCACCTATGCCTTCAAACTGAAACCATACGAATATAGTGTCAGGCTGCATACAGAGGGTATTTCCAGATATATGCGGTCACACATTTCAGATGTCCCCTATACTATCTGCAATCCTGTGATTATGAACAACACCGGCTTTTTATCCGGCTATAGCAAGACGTCCAAGCCCCTGGGTCATTCATGGTCTAACACTACGTACCTGTGTATCTCCGCTATTCGCGGGACAATCAACGCATATGACACTAATGTGCGAACCTCCTTACTACAGCTTCGGAAAACACAAACATTGACAGACTTAGTGTGTTGTTCCACCCGGTATAGATAATCCTTTATTCCAGACTATTGTCTGCGTATTGTGCTGAAACATTGGCCTTCCTTGGCAATTTGCTGTAAGCCCCAGTATTAGATCGTTCACACAAACTGCTAAAAATACATATTATTTGTTCGCTTATTGAACCAGCGAAGTCTGTAAGGTCATGTGTACAAGAGCACAATAAAGGCTTTCCTACTACACGAGAGTGAGACACTTTCAATTACACCATCATCGATGTCTAAGTAGCATTGCCAACGTCGAATGGCGTCAGCGTATCCGCAACGATGACTTAATTACATGAACGCTAGGTGAGGATAATAAGGCTACAACTTTAATGCAACAAATGATAGTGAAAAATTGCGGCAAATGCTTGCCGAAATAGCCATAGTTTCGTTTGTCCGAATTGGATAGCGCAAGGCTCGAGTTTTGGGAGATGAATCAACTTGGAAGCGCGAAATGAAGTAAATGACTATAAACTGGGTGTCCGGGGGGGCCAGGAAGGAGTAGGACCACTGGTACGGGACCTGCCATACCCTCCGGGGTAGTCAGCCTCTCTTTGATCTCCACCTGACACCCAGCTGTCATCCGTGGCTCCAAGGAGTTGCTTGCATGCGGCAGCAGCCACACCCCGGTCAATCGCCAGACAAGCGGGCTAAACCAGGCGAGGGTAGCCAAAAATACTATTCTCAGTGAGTTCTTACCCGCGTACACTGTTACTCCTGATAACAGGACGGAAGAGAGCGATCCATGATCCAACATCCAGAAATTAAGACAATTTCCCAGATCCCTATGGCCTTGCAGGAAACACGGCTGTGCAAAGGCTAGAAGTGAATC